GTAAATGTTGTGGTTTTCTGTATTTAACCCTTTACAGCCTAAAATCAGTATGCATATTCTCCATACTTTTATCTTAACATTTCCTAGGGTGCTGACAAGGAGAATTTGTTTAACAATCAAGAGCCTCTTTAGTTGTTGATCATTCCTTTATTCTTATGATCTTAAATGAGTGATTCAGCAGTATTATTGTAAGGAGAAACCAGATGCTGGTCACTCTTAAGGTTTACAAGGTTAAGAAGAGAGAGAGGAAGATGATAAAAGAAATGAGGTTCCTTTTAAAAATGTATTTCTGTATGTGATAGAAATTGTGAATAACAACTTACAGTAACCTTAGTTTACTAATCATAGTTGACACCAGTATCTAATATTAATTATATGGGCTGAATTTCATGGAGTAATACTTGTATTTGATTGGTTCTTATCTATGATCTCTTGGAGGGCAGATGCATTGATAATGTCACTATCAGATAAAACAAATATATTCCATGTTTAGATGAGTCTGTGTGTAGTAGATCCCAGAAGATATCAAATTGTGCTAAGAATATCAGTGACACACTCCACTGCACCTCATGTGCCGCTTAAATGTTCTTACCACATTTTCATGTCATTTGTGATCTGCTACTGAACAGACGCAAGAGAACATGGAGTGTATTTGTTAGTTATTTCACTTGTGTTGCAAATAACTCAGTGATGAAAGGAATAACACAGTCACTGCAGCATGCACATGGCAACGGCAAAAACATGGCACTCAGAGCACTCCAATTTTAAGAAGAAGCCATTCTCTTTGCACATGTCCAGCTTGTAACACTGTTACTCCTAATGGTGACAAGCATCTAATTTCTACAGGACATATTACCCCTCAATCACACATTAAGGTCACAAGAAAAAAAGAATGATTACCTACTAAAGAAGCTCTTGATTGTTAAACAAATGCTCTTTGTTCGTACCTTAACCCTTTAACTTCTGAGATCTAGTTGTTAATTCTCCCCTCTGGCTGCTACACATTTCCTCATAAACTAGTTACAAGAGTTTGGTGTTCAATTGGGATGACAACTTCTACCTGATAGGTTTGAATATTCACACCCCTTGATTTGCTGGAAAATGTTTATAAATTATTGGGAGAAGTTACATGTTAATCAGTTCTGGGAGTTAAAGGGTTAAGAAATGTATGGAAAATAGTATGGGGAATATGCATACTGACATTTGGGTGTAAAGGGTTAAAGGGAACCTAAATATACCACTGCAACTCTTTTTTAAATTCTCAAAATAGTTATCAGGGTTACCTTTTTCATAGAAAGAATTTGATTGGCTCCTAGCTGCACACATGATTTTGGCAATGAAGAAAGGAATGAAAATTTTCCGATGAGACACTTTCTTTATCATGTACTGAAAATCCTGAGGATTGTCAGGCAGCAAATAGTTCTTTCCACCATTGGCAATGTTATTGATGAAATCACTCATTTTTGGTGCATTTATGCCTGCAGGACACATAAGGACCAAGGATGATAGCAAAGATGAGTACTGTGATGCAAACACACCAGCCACAAAGCCGCCCATGGACAAACCAACTAAATGAAACTTCTTCTTATCCAGTCCAACAGCCAACACAAACTGAAAAGAAACATTATAACCCACCAGTAAGTAAGCAGCTCTCTATATAATTTAGTTCAATGTTGCAAAAAGCATATTAGACCTCTAAATAATAGAAGTGAGAAGCCCAAAGCATAGTTAAAAGGTAGAGAAAGGCCAGCAAGTTCTTGAAGGTTCTCATCTGATTGTTTAAGTACTGGTATCTATGTGTAATACTTGAATAATTATGTAAAGACCCCAAGTTGACATTCACCAGGTGACTATGGTTTAATTGAATTTTGGTGGGAGGGTACATTGAAGGCACATTAGTACATTCAGTGGAGTGAAGCTGGAGAGCAGAGAGCTCACAACTGAACAATAATGGCAAGGATAGTAAAGTAGAAAAATCTGATTATTACATTTGATTGTAAAACTAGAACTTGAATTGCTATGCATAAACTTTACTGGCTTGTTTGAAAGAATTATTTCATATGTACCTGATGAAGTTTGGCAACTTGAGCTGGAATAGAATGATCATCATGGTGTTTTCGGGTAGTATACCCATGTCCTGGAAGATCTACTGCTACCAGATGAAATGTCTTAGGTATGGCTTTTCCCATAAGACACCAAATACCTTTATCTCCTGTAAAACCATGAACCATCAGAATGACATTTTCTGCCTTTTCACTTTTCCCTCTCTCAACGTAGCTAAATGTGAAGTCTCCCACTGACACATACTTCAAGGTAAACCCTCCTCTAAATATTGTTAACCTGGAAACAAGATCAGTGATTTGTTAAATGGGTAAAAAAATGGGCAGAGATCTGGGAAGGGAAAAGGTTAAGGGGACAGAAGAAATGCAATTAAATGAAATAAATCATATTTTGACCTGATGAAAAATCATTAGATAATCCTCACTGTTGAACTTCAATTGATTAAATTGCAGAAAAGGAAGCCTGTTCCTTTTTAAAAATTTCTTCAGCTAGAGCTTCCTTATGAAGTTCATTTTGCTGAATTGAGACTCAAGAAAACAATCAGGAACATTCTTTGGGGGACTGATTTTACTCTATTTATAATAAGTAAACTGCATGGGCATTGAAAAATTAACCAAATCAAGGAAAATTAAGAGCCAATCATGACAGGTAGTAATAAAACAACAATTTTAACCCATGCTGAGACAAACTAATCCTGATAGTAACAGAACAATGAAATGAAGGTTTAAAAGAACCCCATGACTAGTTGTGCTATCTTTTAACTTAAAGTATTTTTTTTAAAAATACTAACATTCTACAAAACATCTCAAGATTGCCATCTCTTTTCTTGTAACCAAAAGATTTGTTTCCAATCTTTGAGTGACTTGGTCAGTTTTCAGTGAATTTCAGCAGTTTAGTTTTGTTTCAAGATAAAACATGTTTAATAATGGTCAGAAGATGAGGTCATAGCCTTGAATTCATATAAATTTATCGAATTCTACATGTTTTTTGGCGTCCAAACTTTGACGTTCAGTCACCAAAATTGAAAAGAATTGTGTTTAAATTTGATATGAAAGCAAACTAAAGGTTATTTCTAAGAACTGTCCAAAATTCAAATTAAGAAAGGAAGGTTATCCGTAAGCAACACTAAGGAACACTAGTCTAGGACAAAGTAAATCATATTACTTCCGAAGTACCACATACAAACAGTATTTATCAAATTCACTTTTATCACAATTTTCCTTTCAGAATATGCCGACATAAACACTTTGTTTGTTTCGATATCAAGAAATACACTAAAATCCTAAACTAAGACCTGAACATTGGCTTGTAATCACGCGATGGAGTAAGAAATATACGTGACAACTGCGAAGTCCAGCAAACACAGAAACAGAATCCTTTAATAATATGCGTGTGTATTAATTTAGCCAACGAATGAAACAATAAATCGTCAAATCATCAGATTCTATCGCATTTTGCAGATTCTTTGAAGTTTAAAAACGAAAGTTAACAAACGTTTACACCCAGCCTTCTAAGGGCGTATTATGAGAACTACAAGATCTCTCTTCGAATTTCTGTACATACAGAGGTAAAGCTAGCGTGAATAAGTGATAAGTAAGTAATAATGATAGCTGATCAAAATACGGCGCACTTTTATAAACAGTTTCTACAATTAGTATTTTTTTCAAACCTGTGTATGACGTGGCTCAAGACATGGGGACATGCAAAATATAATGTCACAACAACAGCCCAGATAAGAAATATTGCAAGCGCCACAACCCCTACAAGAGGAAGAAAAAGTCCCAGCCATAACACCATGGTCACTTGGTTTGAAAGTCTTGTTTGAGGTTGAATAATCTGCTCTGACTTTCCTCTCAACCCTTTTCTTGTCGTTAGAAGATCTTCTCGATGTCACTTCAAACCAACCAGGTGCTTCCCAAGCCGGAAATGATCTCCAATTAATTTCAGGCAATAAGCAGAAAGGCTTCGTTCACACTTTGTGGCATAAGCAAGCCCTGACTCTAAACAAATACTTCTTGGAGCAGGTTATCATATGAAACTATCATCGAGTGCATCTGCGTTTCAGAACAAGAACTACCCAGGGTGACTTGGGTGAGTAAGGCTTGTCTTCGGCAGGGGGGCCTTGTCACGCCACGGTGTCACGTTTAAGCTAGTAATCTCCAGAATAATTGGTCGTTTTATCGGACGCACATACTGCGCAACGACTTTCGTGTCATGAGAAGATATATATCTTTAAAAGCAGCGTTTGCAAAGTTGCTATTTTCACTTCTGAAAACAGATTGTTTCGGTGATGGTGTTCTCTATCAATCATATTTTGTCAAGGTATAGTTAAGTCAATAGTGTTCCTGTGGGAACACGTTGAAAGAGAAAACGTACCTTTTCGACAGGCATTACTCTTAACTGCATTTTCATAATTCGTTTCATACCTATTCTGTTCTTAAAGCTCTCCGTTATTTCCCTTTCCTATTGCATTTTGTTACTGTTTGCGAGAAGTAATTTCAGCTCTTTCTTACGACTTATCTCGTCCATCTTAGGAAATGCAAACTCTGCAGATTGTCTGGAATAGCCAGGAACTTCATGCTTCTATTTGACCAACAATCAAGAGAGGGTGCATACTCTCTTAACAATAGAGCTGCTTTTCTGCTGATATCATTGGAGAAGAATAATTTTTTACCCCACTTCACAAATACTTTTTTTTATAGCAATCCTTTCCCTACACCCTGTTTTCTTTCATCTCATTTCACCGCAGACTGTCACAGTTTGCGCATAATCGCCGATTTATCAATGGAGCGTGTATTAAAGAAGGAAAGGGAGAAACCAACCGAGAAGTTCACATCCCCTGTACTTAGCAGAATTATCGGTGTACTTTTTCTCCTCATAAGAGAGATTTATTCTACGAATACATGCTTATCGGCTGAAATCAAAGAGAGAACACGACATTTTGCTGTGGAAGGTTTATTGAGTTAAACAACCCATTTTTTCCACTGGATTTCTAAGTAGATGATACCCCCTATTCTGGTGGAAAAACCTTTATCTGACTACTTTACTCAACAGTAAAGAAGAACATTGTCACAAAAACTAACTACCTTGACCCAGACAAAGAAAAAAAAACAAGTACCATTGTTGACATTCAGGGAGGGTTTTTACACTAAAGCGATTATACTAACACGGTTTATCGCATGGCCGAAGCCAGATATTTTGAGAACTAAAATTCGTGTGAGTTTCTTGTGGTTTGTCAGCTAGTTCGTTCTATCTCTTCCGACAGCTGCTACAACTGTACGTTATACTTTCAAAAAGGCTATCTTATCGTAGAAGAAATTCTTAGGATTAGCTGTATCTGTCGTTCGACATGTCCTGGTCTTAGGGTAGCATTCGCGGCCATCATAGAACATGAATGCAACACATGAAGGGTTTGCTTTGCAGCGTCTGGCGCACTCCATCAAGGAGACGAATCCGTGGATGGACCAGATATCATTGCCGCTACAATCACCAGGTCTCATGGCAAAGCCTCTTGGGACTTTGTCATAAAACATATTTAGGGGGTTGGTCTTGGTTGCAGTGGCACAGGTTTTAGTCTTGGGGTAGCATCGGTGATTGTTGTAGAACATAAAGGCCTGGCAACTGGGAGATGTGGAACACAATCGTGCACATTCCTTCAAGGTTGTACGATCTCTGTAAAGGGACCAGATGTCGTTACCAGGGCAATCCCCAGGACGCATGTTGTAATCTCTCGGTACAACACATCGCAGCTTCCCTCTCAGCTGTTGAATTTGGCAGGGCCTGAAGCCTTCGGTATTTTGAGCATCTGTGGCTAGTACGACCGTAGACATGACCAGCATCCACGCAAGTCTCATTTCTTTATTAAGGAATATAAAATTTTGGTCTTTTTAAAGGTATATTAAGAAACATTAAGGAGTGTTCTATTTCAGCTCATCATGTAAAGGTACGCGAGGGAACGAAGACCGTGTAACCTTAACCAAACTAAAAATGAAGCGATTGCAAGGAAAACTGAATACGTGAACTATACCTATAATACATACAAAAGGTAAACAACGTAAATGTAAAGAAATAAAAACTTACTTTGGTCTCGCTCCTAACGGTAGTAAATAGCTTATAGCGAACGGTAACAAATAGCTTGTAGCATTATCTAGCAGCGACGATTAGCAGTGATGATTTAGCAGCGATTACTAGTAGCGACGATTGAAATAGAATCTTTTCACGAGCACTTAAGTGGGAATTTGATCGGAGATAATTAACTTACTACAATAATCATTAACTAACGAAAAACTTATCGATGAAAATGAACCAGAACAAAACTGTAATAAAGTGTGTATTAACCAGGCGTTTCGAAACTAACAGACCGTACTTGAAAAAAAATAGTTACAACAAATCTTGCAATGACAACGTAGTAACAATTAGACCTATTGTTTTAAACTCGAACGAAAATAAACCTAGAGAGTAGAATAATTCGAACTGCCCTCAGACTTGGATTTAGCGCATTATAAGTCCGGAAAAATATGCAAAAGAGTAAAACGACGTTAATTTCGATTTTAGGATCTTAATGTGCAGTACATGTTTCATACATCACGACTAAATAAACAAAAATGAAATACCAGTAGGGAGTTTTTTCGACCAAACGAACTTCCACACGGCTTTAAGAAGCAGAATACAGCTGTTAAACTTAAAGAATTTTGCGATTCACAAAATCCATGCAATAATTATCAAGGTACTTCGAGGTTGAACTGAGCAATCATGTCAACTGCGTGTGATACTCATTCCACAGTTCTGATAGCTCGCGTACCTAGAGACGAAACTTAAGATGTAACTTGTTTTGGCACATGCCTTCAAATGCTAGAGGTTGTCCTAACATCTGAGCTCTAGAAAGCATTGAAAGAGGTTTCTTTCAACTTTTTACCGGATCTCTCAGTAAAAATTAAAAAAAAAAGTTTGAAAATATTCTGCCATGAATTGGCTAGACCCTTAAAAACATACACGAAGAGTTCTTCCATGTTACGTGATTTGACTGAAAATGCCCGCATACAACATTTAATGAAATAAAATTATTTCTTTCTCTCTACACTATTAGAACAATTGAGTCTATGTTCGCGGGCATAAATATTTTGAAACCGACTCAGAGTCATTTTAGCCAGAGCCGCTAGGCTTGGGCTCGGGCTTGGGTAGGCTAGGCTCTGCTTGATAGAGGTTTCACTGCATGTTCTGTCTCTCATGCACAGAATATATAACTGGAGCGTAAACAAAGGTTGAAACAAGCAATAAACTTACCGAAGCTTAGAAATAGACTTCGCTCGGAATCTATCGTGGAATTATGAAAGTGGTCGTTATAAAATTAGCAGCAGTATTTAACCGATCAATGGTGATATTCAATCACCTAGCTTGACTGCAACTGACGCAAATCATCTTTTTTGAACATATCATCTGTTCAAATCCAATTTGGAAAACTGACAGATCTTGTTGCACTCCTTTGAGCACTGAGGGGGACTAAAGGTCATCCATGCCTCGTGTGTTTAAATTGTCCACTGGAGATATCCAAAGGAGACGACATCGAGGGGAATTTTCAACGATTTTTTTAAACAGCCTCGCGTGATGTATTGTAATCTGCCCTGACTTTCCTCAACGGTCTTACCCTGTCGATTTTGCTGCACTCAATTTTAACTTTCTGCAAAGTTTGGAATGAATGAATGTGGTGAAATTTTTTGCATAGACAACATCGTGGTACAACGTCGTTCTTTCGCTCGTTAATTCGCGCGTTCGCGAGAACTCGCACACAGACTTGCTTATATCCTGGGCATTGTTGTCTTTTTAACCCTTTAAATCCTAGAAGTGATTGGCATGTAACTTCTCCCAATGATATCCATACGTCATCCAGCAAACAGGTGATGAGAATACTCAAACTTAACAGGCATAAGTTGTTATCGATCTAACACCAAATTCTCACAAATGTTTAACAAGGGAATGTGCAGCGGCTAGAGGGGAGAATTAACAATCATATCTTGGGAGTTTTGGGGTTAACAAACAGATTCCGTGTTGCCGTGCGTCTGTTCAGTAACAGATCGCGAATTACGTCATAAGGGAAGAAAAGATGGTTAAATGGTGACGTTATCTAAGAGCACTGGAAAGGAAGGGGGTCCTGATCCTGTTCTAGGCACGAATTTCAGAAAAATTCACGCATCACGTGTACTTTTAGCAGTATTTGACTATTTTACAAATTAATTTTGGGCTTAATCAGGCGTCACGTATAATCATTTAAAACCCTCATCTAAGCGTCTTTCCTCTAATTCATCATAGGTAAGAACCAATGAAAATGTGCGTTTAATTCAGCTTATCACATAATTAACAAATAAATTCCATGTTGCTGGGTGTCTGTCATGTAATAGATCACAGATGACCTTACTGATGTTCCTACTACATTTTGATGTCTTCTGTGATCTATTACTGTACAGACCCATGAAAGTACGGAATCTATTTGTTATCTATGATAAAAAAGCAAAATATTGTTGATGGTGACGTCATCTAGGTGTCAGTCCTCCAGGAGATCATAGATCAAAATGTGTATAGTATTCAGCTTATTATAATTATATTTTTCAATATTCATGACCATTGCAAAGTGTATTGTACTCTTTCACTGCATTGATTGTAACACTGCTAGAACATTAAGACCCAAAGCCGGTAGAAAAGATGATTTAATTAATCATGTCATGCTACTACAGGATTACAAGATGATAATATCTATAGAGATTTCAGTGTCTCTTTAGACACCAACCTAAATCACAACTACAAATTCACTTACAAAATAAAAAAAAATGATCCATCCTTGTTCCTAATTGTGTGCAACTAATAATGCAATCCTGTTTGTGCTGCGTTCCTGAATGTTACATTTATTTTAATGACACTGATAATTCTATTTGAAAAAGAAACTCATACAATAACTTACATCTACCTAACTCGTTACAATGCATTTAAAGGGTCTGTTGTGCTTGTACTGCATTGGTCCTTTCCTCTTGAACAGCAAGGGGAGTCCTTTACATCACTTGATGGACAAAATCTCTATTTCAAATAGGAGATCAGCATTGGGAGGAATCGTGAGAGTAGTTAAGGGCAATTAAATTCTAGTTTGATAAAAAAAGAAAAACCTTAATTGCAGTGTTTTAACAATAATAACCACATAATTTGGAGGATGTTGAAAAAACCACAAACTTTCAGGAGCTTTATATACATCTCATTACTTAACAACCATCATAAAGATAACAGGAGAACACTGATACAAAAGAAAGGTCAAAATAAAGTTCAGGTTCTTTTTTATGAGGTGATCATATTGGTGTAATTATTATTATAGTTTGGTCTGAGGGATGAATATTTCAGAGTGGAACTCAAGATGGCAACAATCACTGAGAAAAAAAAATATAACCAGAAGTAAATAAAAAAGAAACAAAAAAATACTCTCTAGTTCTTTCAGAATAACAAATAAATGCATAAATATTGGGAACAATCTTTCTTTTGGTTGAATAAGTTTAGTACAAATGCTTCACTTTTAATTGAGGAAATGCAAAATTAGACTAAACATAATGCAACAAAGATTTTTCAAAGTTGAAAGGATATCCCCAAGACGAGAAACCTGATGCCCCATAACCTTTGTGGGAAGGAATAGTGAGCTTTGCTATTTCTCCTTCACTCATTGTCATGCATCCTTCATCCCAACCTGGGAAAACAAATCAGTGAGTTGGGAGGCTAAAGACAATGCCATAGATGCAAGAGATTAGTCTTTATAAAGATATGAGTTTATTACAAGATATCTCAGAATAACCTTCCATCTAAGCAATAATTTCCAAGGTAAGAGACACTTGGTTGATTAGTTAGCAAGTTCAGCAAAAGAAAATTAAATTCATTTGTGAACCAACAAAGTTTATTTAGAGTGATAGCCCATCACAAGAGTCTAAATGTGTCACTTAACTATATCAAATATGTGCATTTAGGACTCACCTTTTTTAAACACAACATCCAGCGAAGTGTTGCTTACTACCAGTAAGTATTGTAACATCCATTATTTGGATACAGTGTGAATCAAAGAATAACAAACATACCCTCCTACAAAATTCATGTTATCCAGAAGTAAAAGCTGCTATAAAGTTAATCCAAGTCTGTATAAAACACACAAGTCTATGTAGTAAGCTCACATTAACCTTACATACTTTGAAGGTTCACCTGGGAAATTATGTTTTGAGGAACTGAGCTAGTTAATTTATTGATTTCCCACCTGCAATCACTTTCCCTAATCCAACTTGGAATGTAAATGGTTTCTGCCCTGGATCTTTTGTGCTATAAAACGAGACATTAATTAGAGTAAACCATGAAAGAGTGAGAATTCCATATGTTTCTCTCCCAAGATGCTTTATTGGAAAAATTTAATTTGTTTTCTTAACATACCCCATCAAAATGTCAATTATACCAAATAGTCCATTCAGTTTCTTAGTGTGCTGTAATTATTGCTTTGAATGGAGGGGGGTGTGGTAAGATTTATTGTTCCAATCTACTACTGAAAAACATTGCCATCCTAGAGAATGAAAAAAAAAAAATTAAAAACTTGCACCAAGCACCTCATGGCGCATTTCGCCTTTTTTTGCATGCTTTTATCATTGCTTTAAGCGTGAGGGTTGATTATTCCTCTCGTTCTGTCAAAGAACATAAGTAGTCCAGTTTTTTAATTTTGTTTCTGCAATACCCAAGAGATTAGAAAGATACCTATCATTAAGTCAGAGGAATTTGAATGTGCAAACAGCGTATTCTAAATTTGACAAGAGCGTTTGCACGTGCTTCGTGCTAATGTGGAATTTATCGAACGTTAATGAGAGGCGCTTTCATTCCGTCTAGAAGATCTTGTTCCATACAGATGTTCGGCTCGTCAAATTAAAAAAAATTACCTCCAAAACTTTTTGGGTGGGTTCGTGTTTAACGATCCAGTACAATTGACTGTAATGGTAGCTCCTCTGTGCGGAGTGCGACCGTTCCCAGGTTTAATGACTTCTTTCTTCACACCGTCGGCCATCTTGTCGATAAGCTTATGGACTATCCCAGTATTCCTTGCTAACTCGCAATGTCGTTTCCAGGGCCAACCTTCATGTGCGCTGTGCGCCTTACTCTTTAAGGCTTTGAGCGATCCTACCGAGAAAAAAAGCAGAAAAGTTTCGAGAGACTTAGGGCCGAAAATGAAAGGAGAAACAAGTGTTTTCACGGCTTCTCCGCTTTTCTTTTTATGGAGCTGCTAAAAAAAGAAACATCAGTAACGCAGGCAACCGCTATCGATCGTTATCACCTAATCACAATGGGTCTGAACTACAAGCTGATTAACAAACAAGTTTCTATATAGTGCGTGTGTCTGTTGAGGTTCAGATCACAGATCACAGATGAACTCAAACAGGCATACGAGCCGCGGCAAATGTGACACTTTTGTGATTTATCTCTTAACAGACGTACCAGGTGTGACCGTAGCGTAGTCTGTGACTTGAAAACAGCGCGTATACCTTGTTGTAGACAGCGGCGAAGTTGTTAGGAGAGACCTTTGAAATAGGATGGGACTGCTGAACTCATTGGGGGAGGGGGGGGGGGGTCAACGCTGGCAGTTGGTGTCTTGGTTTTCGCTGTCCTCTGCACGAAAGAGGAAGGATAACCATTAGAGAAAAAAAAAGATGAAAAATGTTTTTTCTCCTTGAAATTAACGGAGGCTTTTGTAACGAGACGTTTTGCAGGCTCGTTAAGACATTTGACAATACCGCGATTCACTGATTGCGGATGGAGTGAATTATACCCTAAGTATTGGTCAGTGTTTGTCGGCTTTTTCTATTCTCTGGTGGTTGGGCGTCTATCAGGTTCTTTTGAAACTGCGGTGTCGAGGAAGGTGAGTTAGTTGTTGCTTTCTATTTTCATGATGAAGCGGCTAGAAGGTTGTTGGTGTTTTCAATGCTGTAAAAAGCTTTCTACATTCTTGCAGGCCAAGATGTTGAACGTGTCTACGTATCGTTTTCAGATGATAGGTTTGTAGGGTGATGATGATATTGCTTGTTCATCATCTTTTGAAAGTGTTATTTTTCACGATGACAAACCACAACCTATTTTACGATATAAAGTTTTATCCTTTTGTTTAATCATTTTCTTCCATAACAATTTTGTGAAAAAAAGCACACACACAAAATAATCATACAACCAATTTTTTTTTCTTTTGCAGCCTTACATTGACTGAAATACAAATCCAACGATAACAGATGAATGACTATGTTAATTGAAAGCAGTATCCACTTCATTGCGGTAACATACTCTGTGATTTTCTTCCCTCTGCGGCCCTCGTGTGGCCTGCCCCTCCCAAACTTGATTGTTTCTGTCCTCAAATGTCTATGGATTATCATGAGAGAGACCTCCCACAAAACGAGATGGGGTATCACCTGCAGCCGCATAAAACCCAACCCTACAATATTTCATCTTGGACGGCCCGACTGTATATCTATACGAGCCGATAAATCCAGCAAACAGTTCGCTCACCGGAGGAACACCACTTGCTAAGTTGTCTTCAAATGCAAGAGATAGATCTTGATTGTAGGAAAAGGACACTTCTTGCTGGTTTCTTCCGGCCAAGGCAATTTGTTGTTGCTTCGTATCTAAGAATAAGGCTCTTGAATAGAGGAATACTGACATGATAGCATCCAACTCAAATCTGGCATCACTGGACTGAGTTCGTATTCGTGCTTGTTCCATTCAGCTTTAGCCTACACGTGATTCGATCAGTTGACTTAAAATTCTAAGGACCCTTTTTCAAAAAACATTTTTTCACAACCATCTTGAAGCCTCTATTTTGCGCGCTCATGAAGCTGAATCCGTTACTTATCGAAGATCTACATGATGTAACGAGAATGCGTCTGACGCAATAAAATAGTTTTCGCGAGCGCGCTTCCCTTCACTGATCTGTGATAAAACAGGATCAAACTAACTTCAAGTTATCGTAACGACTAGCGATTGGGATACTTGTTGCGTTAATAAAATGGTCTGTTTTCTGATGGATTTTCCTTTAAACGATCACAGAACTTAGAAATTTTTGATCACTAGTGATCCATAAATAGATAAATTCAGGTGCCCGTATAGATACCACTCACTGCCTTATCTCTTTTCGGCCATTGCTTAAACGCTTTTAACTTAAGATTTATTTTCTTTTTTTTCCTATTCCTGCGTTGCTTGCGGTTCTTTGGCCGTCTTTGGTTGCGGAGCCGTAAAACTGATTCGCACTGCTCCGTTCAGTCGTCAGTTGCTTCTGTACAAAGTAAGCACGCAGCGCGTTCCTATCTTTCACTTATAGGGTCCAGGTCCCCAATAATAACAGGTTGCTAGGTTTCCTTGTCAAATATTGATAAGGAATCTTTGTTGAGTTAGAAGTGCTGAACAAATATGACCTCTTCGTCGGTGCTTACAGAGGATAGATTTTCTATTCTTCTCTCGAGACTTGATAGAATCGAAGCTTCTCTGGCTGGCCTTGAAGATGTCAAGAAACTACTAGTAGAGATAGAGGACAACACTCATGCCGAAGTAGATAATAAGTGCGATTTTCGTCAAAACAAACTTGAGAAGGTTGGCTTTGACATAAGTATAATTTCTTTATCTCTTAACTGAGATGCACACAATCGCAAACAGATTTCCAACAAGGATCGTAAGAAACATAAGCATATCTATTACTTTTACTCATAATCAGCCAAGAAAAAACTGTAGAATACATAGCTAGCTAATCAATATCATCAGCAAATATTAGCCAACTTATGATTCTGTACTATTTACCATTCCATTTGATTTCTCTTAAAATGTGCTCTACAAGTTGGCATTTACAGTGTGCTCTACTTCCTGTAAATCAGTTTCGTTGTGGTGTTTTTGTCAAACCAGCCCTCCAGTGATAAATAGTGGGCAACGGGAGGCAACATTGTCAACAACATGTGCGATTTAATGACTGGAAATATACGAAGATCAATATATGTGCGATTTAATGATCGATTGGACTGCCTACCAACTGTTTAATTTATAGTCGCAGATCCAGAAAATTAAGACTTGAGCAGTCTGGGAAATTGCAGAGAGAATGCACACCAGTTCAATATGAAAGAAATTTCAAACATATTCTCTAAAAATTCGTTATCTTGCCTTTATTGTCCCTTCCAGACCAGCCCAACAGTATTTAGTATTGAGTATTTAGGTTTTCTCAGCCAATCCCTCTGGCTCCTCTTCAATAAAATCAATCAGAAAATTGATATAATTCTTTCAATTTAAAAATAACTCATTTCAATTTTTTCATTAAATTAATTGCAAGTGTTGTTTTTTCCTTTTAAGGTTATTGTGGCAATTAGAACCAGTATTATATCTGTTGGTGACATTGACACAGTTGGTCAGCAATTCAAATGTGATTTTTATATGTCGGCAACCTGGTCAGAGCCACAACTGCAGGGAAGAAGTCCGGATGTGAGCTAAATTTCAACTATATAACAAATGGCAGTTAAGCTTGTTCAGTTAATAAAGTGACTGTCCCTGAGATATCATCCAACTCTGCTAAAACTCTTCTAAAGCCATACAAAATTGTATGCCTTGCCTTAATGCCATGTAACCCTTCCATTCCAAAGATCTTAATATTAGTTCTTACTATCGTCAACCATATATTTTCTAGAATTTAGGTTTTTTTAGAATTTGTTGTTGGGTCAAAGCACATCCCTTAAGTGAAAGTTGTCTTCTTCTCTTATAACTTTTCTGGTTAACCCTTTATACCCTAACATCACCATGCATATTCTCCATACTGTTCTCCATACATTTTCAAAGAGGCTGACAAGGAGAATTTGTTTAACAATCAAGCCTGCTTTAGTTGGTGATCATCTTCTCTATTCTTATGACTTTCATTTTTGATTCAGGGGTGATATGGTAAGGAGAAATTAGATGCTAGTCACTCTTAGGGGCTAAAGGGTTAAAATGTTTTAATATTTTATAACAAGTTGTATTTAAATGGCTCAGTGGCTAAAAGGTTAAAACAAGACAACAGTTGTAGTGTTAAGGGGGAGAAGGTGGTCAAAGTTACTATTTTGTCTTGAATATTACATTTGTTTTCTTTTCAGGATATAAGATGGAGCAATGAATGGCATCCCAGAATTGTGTTTTTTAATGCTGTGGAAATTGAAAAAATGGAAATAAATCATAAATTGTTTTATGAAGAGGGTAATAAAATACCATATGCCATGCAGTCATACAGAATAAAAGGAAGTTTTAGAGAAAATTTGGAGTTGTGGAATTTTCCTTTGGATTATCAGGTTTAGTATTCTCCTATAATGATTATTATTCCTGTAATATTCTGTTAGTTACTCAAAACTTACTATGATTAAGAACAATTTTTTTACTTTGATTATAATAAATATAAAAGATAATTTTCCTTTGGAAAAAAAAACTCTTGCTAAAAAAAGAAACATCAGTAACGCAGGCAACTGCTATCAATTGTTATCACCTAATCACAATGGGTCTGAACTACTTTAGACACATTCCTGTTTTTCATAAAGGCACAATTCTCACATGTGAATGATCCTTAATTACCAGTTAGAATCATTATGTACCAAAAGCAAAGCTTATATTGGTGAAACATATCCAGTCAAAGGTTGACCCCATTAAGGTTAAAAAGTATCTCCTGAGGCTTAGTTAAGCTGATAACTGTGTCCTGTTAGCTTAGGATTTATCAGGTGATAATCAGAGCAATTTCCTTTAAACAATTATTTGTTCATAAACAAGAAGAAATCATATCTCAGTAACTTTGATCAATACTACCTTCATTTAGAATGTGCCACCTTATAAAAAAATATTGCTAGACTTCAGTTTTACATGTAAGGTCATTAGTCATGATCTACACTTTTTTTCTGCAGCAACTGACAATAACACTCATGTCAGATTGGACTGATAAACTTGTAGAATTTGAAAAAGACCTAAGAAAGCCAGATAGGTTGCGGCCTGAAACATTCACAGCTGACCAAGAATGGCACCTATGTAGAAATGTGGTCACTGAATCAACTAGTACTGTATCTTCAGAGGGAAGCAGTGCTAATGACTACCCTCTCTACCATATCAAGTGTCATGTTAAGAGAAAGAATGGTTACTACCTTTGGAACATTGTTATGATTATTGTAAGTACTAGCCAAAGTTGGTATAAACTTGTCAGGTTACTTAGTTGGGATACTTAGGGCTGGTTATTTAAACATAGTTTAGCCGCTTTGAAACGAAACAGTGTTCTAAACAATCCTCAATTTAGCTGGACCTTTCATCAGAACATTTATTTTTTTGAACAGTGTCACAGGCTGAGTGAAAGGACATTTATTTAATGAAATCAACCCTCTAACAGAAAAAGCATGACACCTACTGATTACATACAACCATGGTTTGGGTTAGACTTCAAATAAATAACCGGTGCTGAGAGTTTGGTATTCAAAACAGGGGAAATTACATTACATACTTTAAGACTACAACACAAGTCAATTCCATGCATGAAAAGGGTGGGAGAAGGAAAGAAAGGAAAGGGGGAAGGAACCGTTATGAATATAGGCTGGAAGGTGTTGAAAATTGCAGAAAATTTGAAAGTATAGCCTCTCATAGGTATTTGTATTCTAGGGCTTACATAGCCCTAGGATACAAATACCCAGGGCTATGTAAGAAGAGCATCTGCTGATGTGGATTCTGGATTCTGATTCTAGCTATAAAAGGTGAATGCAATAGATCCTTGCATGTGGAGGTGCTGATAATTAGGCAGACATACTCTGTTCTTGCCTTAAGGAATTTTTAGCTGTCAGTTGGCATTAATCAGTATTCATAGTCAAATTACTTCACCAAATTGAATGTTCGATTATTAGGATGGGATCAGGAGGGTAAGGGTTGAGAGGTAGAACTGCTTGATGTGAAGAGTATGAATTTCTGATCCCATGTTTTCATCCATGTGGCTGGATGTTGTTCAAGATATTTACATTTGATACAAATATCAAGTCATGTATCAATTAATTTGATTTCAACTGAACTCTATTTTCTGAGTGTGATGGTAGCCACCTTAACTGATATAAATTAGCTGACCTTTTGGTTCTGTTTATTTTGCAGTTTGTCATTTCTCTCTTATCATTCTGTTCATTTTCTGTGGAAATCTCATCACCTTCTGATCGACTCAGTGTCACCCTTACCCTTCTGTTGACAGCAGTAGCTTTCAAGTTTGTTGTATCACAGAGTTTACCAACTATTTCATACTTGACATTACTGGTGAGTGTTTGTCTCCCACTTTAACACCTTAAGGAAATGCTTTGGAGGGAAATTTGATGTTTTTTATCATCCATTTGAAATTGCTTTTCATTGGCATTACTCAATAGGATCTTTGACAATTAAAATTTGGGTCCAAAAATTGGGGTCTAATGGACAGATAGTGTACCTCCCTTCATAGCCTTGTAAATATGCTCAGTTTAAGTGAAAGGGGTGCAAAAGTAACACAGTGTGACAAAACTAGGAGTTTTAAGCAATCCATCCCATATTGCTTTTTTTTCTCATAGGACAAATATGTTTTGTGTGCCCTTCTCTTCCTGGGTTGCATGGCTATTGAAAATGCAGTTGCTGCAGCTCTCATTCTAGACTCAGCAGCTCAGAAAAAGTTTGATAGAATTTGTTTATATGTTGGCATTGGCTGCTTTGTTTGCATCCATGTTGTGTTCTTGGCTTTTGTCATTGTCAAGGTGAGAATGAATCATTTTATTAAGTGTTCTTCTAAAGAATTATTATTTCAGTCTGTGACATCAAGTTCAAATAAGTATGATTTCATTGTCAAGATCAGGATAACAGTACTGATATATCTGATAATTAAAATTCATTTATGTAGGATCTGTGACCAGATGCTATCAGGGAAAATTCAGAAACAAAATTCTATCAGATAACTGACTTCTTGAACTTGGAAAAATGTCTTAAAACATCACTTTTACAATACTATTGTATTAATCTCCATAGACTGCCAGTAAAAAGAATGAAATCAATAGTAATAACATTCCTAGCTCACAGCTACCTCGTTCTCACCCATTTCCAAAGAAAACAGTTGTATGCAGCAGAGGGGCTAACACTTGAAACACCAGCTTTTCAAAATTTGTTATGTTGACTAGTCTGGCTTCATTTTAGTTTTTTATCAAGTGTCCGACTAATGCCTACCAAAACTGATAATTTTTCAGTGCTAATTCTAGTCTCTTTTTGGTTAAGTAGTATTCTCCATAACAAACTGTTACAACTGTTACTCATTGAAATCTTTTTCAAACTACTTTCTTTCAGTCAAGAACAAGAAATAGAATACTCTCTGAAAATGACAAGAAATTCCGGGTAAGTTTCTCCTGCACTTAAGATAGCTGTGTGAAAGAGGAAGGTAAATTTGGCTTCCGTGAAGCCACGATATTGAACTTCACTCAGAGTTTGCTATTAATTTGTTAACTTCTGCTTAGAACCATAACACAGAAAATGATTAATGAGCAGCGAAAAGTTGATTTTTTGAAATACTCATAACTTCTGTCTGTTTATTTTAGGAGATGTTACAGAGGGTAAAAAATTATGCAATGGAAAAAGAACAAAGAAAAACAGAAAAACCTGAAGAAAGATCTCAGCAAGACAAAGTTTTGGTTGTAAAGGCCTCCCCCCACCAGGGAGGGGTCACTGCCTAGATCTGTGGTCTTGGAATATTAATTTGAGCTTCAAATGCCCAAACCTCCCTTTCCCCACCACACAGACACACACCAGCATCCACCTTACCTCCCCCATAGTGTCATTATTGTTCCTACATTAAAATACACTTTTTACAATTTAGTGTAAAAAAACAGAGAATCAGACCTGCAAAAGACGCTATTGCCAACGCTATTTATCCTAGAATTTTGCACCATGGGACCCCACACTCTGAAATATGTTAAAACCTCTTTTGACTTAAATAACATCTCTATTCTGTGACAAAACTAAACAATATACCTACAGTAGAAACATGTTCTTCTGAGAGGAAGTTATAAAGATAAAAATGTTTTTACTTGCCATTGCTGCATGTACCGGGAAATTACCATTTCCCATTACCAGTTGGGAATTTGTTCTGAAAAGTAGACGCGCTCACCACAAACACAACTTTGGAGGATTCCCAAAAGTGTCAAGCAAAGCCATCTTACTTACATGCTTTATAATGTTTCTACATTTTGTTATCGTACAGAACCAAAGGAAGAGTCAATATGGCTAAAATCAAACAGGCACAAGCTTCTTTTATCAAGTCTTACTTTATTAGTTGGCTTCAAGTCAAAAAGATAAACCAATAACAAGAGACTTGAATGAGACGAGTATCACATGTTGACTAGCTCCTATTGCCTCAAACACTGTAGAAAATTACCATCCTTCAAAATTTGCATGCCTATCATGTGGTGCAGCTTTATAGATAGTTTACCAGTGATCTGTAATTTTCAGGCACAATCAGAATATTGCGTCTTCTGGTTAATTTAGTTCAAGACGGATATCGTTCCACAACCATTGCGTGACCCTGAAAGAAAGAAAGATTGTCACACACAAGGACTGTCAATCTAGATCTGAACCTAGGGAAATCTCACCCATACAAGGTAGAAGGGGAAAGATTTGCTAGACAACAAAATCGCATGGCTTCTCCTGTAAAGAGTTAAGACACTTGCTTGGTGAAATTCAACCATCACTGGAAATTTCCAAACAAGTAACTGTGTTTTATTAAGTGACTATTGTAATCTGTTGTTCATTTAAGGCCCATTATGGGCCTCCTCCACAATCAAAGTCACAATCAAACGGATGTAAAAAGTTGTCATTCTATCTGATTTGCTCTACAAGTCTTGTGGTGAGTTGCTTCACAACAAACCTTGTTTTTGAACCCTCCTGTATTCCAAGCTTACTTACCAAACCTCCAGCAGCACATGCAGCAACCAGCCCATATTGACCACCTTCCTTAAGAAGTCTGTTGGCAGTTGTGGTGACCAATCGAACTCCAGTGGCACCAAAAGGATGACCAATAGAAAGGGAGCCACCCCAAGTGTTTAATTTTTCCATTGGAGGGACCCCAACCTGTAGATAGCATTAAAAGACAAAGCAGTTGGAGTACCAATGAACTGGTTACCTGAGACTTATTGGAAAGCATTCATTTTCCACTGTGCAGTTTACCACAACACTTAAAAAGCAACCAAGAATGGTCCTGGGTGATGCAACCACTCTCCAACAGCTACTGAAAGTGTTCCTTCACATAATATAATGGTAATTGTGAAGTCTTCGGTTTTCAAACACTTTTGTTTCTCACAAGATCCTTTCAACTTTCACATGGTACCTTTAGCTTGGTTTTGTCCGAAACTGGTAATTTACCAAAACACAATTTGTGAGGGTGTTTTGTGGGCAAATATTAAGAAACCCTGCGGGTGATTCAACACTTTTTAGCAGCACACGGGAGTTGAATCAGTGGATCAGATTGTTTTGATCTAAAAACATTCGCTATACTAACACCTTTCTCAGGTTCCTTACAACTTTCATTTACAAAGATGTACCATTATTACTTTTGTTTTGACTTTCTTACCTTTGAGCTTCTTCCCATGTAGTTCTGTGCAAACCAGTCTGAATCCATAGCTTTCAAGTTGGCCAGAATTTGACCCTTCAAAAACAAAACCAACAGGTTGCATGAAGTAATTCTTAAAATGTAAATGAAGCAGAATTAGGGCCTTTGTAAAAGTTAAAATGCGAACTCACTGCAAATGCTTCGTGGTATTCAAAAACATCAATGTCCTGCAACTTGAGTCCAGCTTTCTCCAGAACTTTGGGCGTGGAGTAAGCTGGTCTGAAAATTATTACAAAATGGTGAAACTTCCATATGCCCATATAGGATTTACAATGTCCAAAAAGAGAGAATTCTGAATTCTAACTCAGTGTAATTAGAAATATTAAAATTACCCCAATAAAAGCTGATCTTTGGGATCCTGTGAGACATATACAAAATCCCTATGGAAAACAGAGGAAGAAGAGGACATTAGCTGTAAATGACAGGAATTGAATGGAATAGCAGCATTTTTTAAGTTTGATCTCATAATACCTCAGGTATGCTTTGGGTTTGAATCCCATCTCAAGAGCTTTATCTTCGCTCATTATCAAGCAAGCAGAGGCTCCGTCTGTCTGTAAAAACAAATAAAATGTAGCATGTATGAGAGGTACACTATTACTTTCCCCTATTGAAATCTTGGGGTCTCCAGGAGTGCTCTTTTCAGTTGATATCTAAGGTGTTGCATTTCTAAGAACCTTTCTAAGTGCTGTGTCACAAAAACTGTTCTGTTCTGGATTTCCTTGCAGGTATATTTTAACAATCCTTTTAACAATTGAAGCCAAAGACATTAAGAGACAGTGAGTAGAGATTATGATGAGATGGTTTGTGGCAAGCTTGAGGAGAGTTTTTCTCGTTTAGCCCCAACCCCTTCTTGTTCTTGCTACCTTATTCTGTTCTCTTTCCAGGGTAGCAACACTTGATCACAGAAAAGACCAGCAGCGAAATGAATATATCATGCTTTGAGTAAGCAGGCAGTCCTTAAAGCTGAGATGTGTTGCAAAAGCCAGTTTTACTGAACGAGATTTTCCCCACATCAACATTTTCAAATGATCACCTTGTTTAATTTGAAGTCAAATCAATCAAGATACTAAGTGTTAAAGCTAAGGTATATCTCCTGTCTTTCACTGAAAAGAGAAGGCAACCTGTAAAAACAAGCTAAAGGACTCACCAGAAAGGAAGCATTAGCTGCAGTGACAGAGCCATGTGGTTTAACAAATGCTGGTTTTAATTTTGCCATCTGCTGCATGGTTGAGACCCGGATCCCATTATCAGCTGTCACAGTTTCAGTGCGACCTAAGAGAGTAACAAATTAATCTTTGAAAAATGCCAGCCTGCCTTTGCATGTTCAGTGATTCCCTTTCATTAGCAGGCTTAGACCCCAACCACACTAACATGTTTTGGTAAGTGTCCATTTTCATCTGAAAGAAAACAAAGCCAAATATGCTAACCTCCACCAGTGTTTGTATATTGCCCCTAACTTTCTTGACTATACTGCATTTTCTGCAGATCAGAAACATGGATGAACAGGATGCCTTTTTCCTCAGCATGTACATGATGATGTTTCATCCAATTATGACGCATTTAAGTTTTTGACATACCTGGTACTTTGTAAGGTACAATGTCTTCCAACTTTCCAGCCTGGAAAAAAGAGAGACAAAAACACTTAACACCCCAGTATTGACACATTGTGATTTGGGACAACACAAGTACAGCCAGGAAGAAAATGGTTGGATATATTTGTTACAAAATCACAGTCAATAATTAGTGATTATCAATTATCAAAAGAGTGTAAATGCTGTAAATTTCCTTACACTTGCTGCTTGATGTGCTAGTGTGTGAGATCGTAAGGCATATTCATCCTGCAATATAAAAAATATTTCTTTCTTGAGTGTTTTGTGTTCATTTTTTTGTGGTTCATGTAAAAAGTTGGTGGGCCATTAACTAAGAAAAAATGAAACAAATACATAATCTAGTTAGGCAGTCTAATTGTACTGGCTAATAAATACATACAAAAAAATAATAATCAGACAAATAAATCAAGCAATCAATAGGAAAATCAATAAACACTTAAATAAAACACTAAAAATTAGTAATTACCTGTTCTTGCCTACTGATGCCAAATGCAGCTGCCAATCTTAAAAAAATTATAATAATAAAATGATCAAGACATGTCAGTAGAGTGATAGAGTTTTTACAGTAACTGTAACACTTGCAAGAACATGCCCATTACAGCTGATCACATCATATAAATACAAAAAATCTCAGTTTAACATCATGCAATATTAATCAAATAATGAAGAATGGAGGTGTTAAACATTTTTTGGACAAGTAACCCTAAAAGTTACAGTATAATAACTGATTTCAATATATAAGCTAATATATGTTAATGGTTTCAAATAGAAATGAACAACAACCCAGCCAGAATTTTGCTCCTAAAGGTTAGACTATGTTAGTTAACCATAGAACATTGAGTACATTATGGAACAAACAGGTGATGAAAATTTCCATCTAGATAAAAATTTAGAGACAGATGATCCGTCTAAGACGAGCTATCCATCTGTTAGCACGTATTGAAGACGTGCTGACAGACGGATCAGCCTGAGACGAATTTTGCTCCATAATTCGTCTTAGTACCAAATTTATATTTAGACGAGTTATCCGTCTGAGACGGATGATTCGTCTCTGATGGATTACTCGTCTCTAGTATAAATTCGGCCACTAATCGCAAATATTATACCGATTTTTAAAACACATTTGTAATTTAAATTAGTTTCCCAACATTAACTGGCGAATAGGTAGGGTATATTTTGGCGGTAGAGAGGGCAGGCTCTTTTAACATGATAATGATCATTACTACGTGTTGTGTGTACCACATTCTCTTAACCCTTTAACTCTTACGAGTGACCAAGACAGACATTCTCTTTGCAATATCAATAAAATATCAAGTAGACAAGTGATGAGAATAAAGAAAAATATAAATTGGAAATAATTAGTTGACTCAACACCAAATTCTCTACACTTACATAATAAGAATTGTATGGCAGACAGTAAGGAGAATTGCTAATGAGATCTTGAGAGTGAAAGGGTTAACTCATTTTCAAAGAAATGTAAAGCAAACAGAAGGGAGAATCACATAGCAGACCTTGGCTACTCAAAATAATAAATTAAATGTAGTTTCTAAAAGGTTATACCTGTCACCACTATGTCCCATGG